CCCAGGCATGTGTCACAAAGAGGTGCTATCTAGACACCCACTGAGCTCTGCCTTCTTCATAAGTACCCGAGTGTTGGCTAAGACAAAGGACCTGTTGATGAGTACAGACAACCCCTGACTTACGGATCTCAGGAGGCTTCTCTACCCTGATGCTCCCCCCTGAACTATTAGTAGTTAATCAAACGTTCTGGCCGAGTTCTTACTGCAAGCTTGTGACCTACCATTCCTCTCGTTCTTGGTCCCTTGGAGGCCGCTGTGTTTTTTGTTTGTTTTGTTTTTTTTCCTAGATTTAGGTCAATTGATGGTCTTGAGACTTTTTCCTAATTCATCAGTGTAACGTTTCACTTGTATTCATTGTTGGCATTTCCTTGACTGTTGTGGGGCTGATTAACTTTAGGTCTTTGCAAATGGAAGCTTGAAAGTTCTGTGTCTACTTCCTAGGTATGCTTTTTTGTTTCTCATTGTTATAGTATTATTTGCTCATAGATCATCTTTATTTTAATGTTGACAAATGCCTTAAGTTTCTATTGCTGTGATTAAAACACCATGACCAAAAGCAACTTGAGGAAAAGGGGTTTACTTCAGCTTGTATGTCCTGATCACAGCCCATCAAGAAGCGACGTCAAGGGAAGAACTCAAAGCAGGAACCTGGAGGAAAAACTAAAGCAAAGGCCATAAAAGAGCGCTGCTTATTGGCTTTGTCTCTCACAGCTTGCTTGACTTGCTTCCTTGCACATCCCAGGACCACAAGCACCGTGGTGGCACCAGCCAGGTATGCTTGGCCCTCTGCCATCAATCATTAACCAAGAAATTGTTCCACAGACTTGCCAACAGGTCAATCTTATGGAGACATTTTCTCAATTATGATTCCTTCTTAGCAGATATGTCTGAGTTTGTGTCAAGTTGAAATAAAAAACGAACCAAGACTTTGGATTTATTAATCCTTACCTATACGGTCTGAGTTTTTCAAAGTGGATTGAGATTTCCCTATATTTAATATGAATATGTCTTTTTTTCTATAGGAATTGAGGTCATTGTGGGGAGCATCCTTAAATACTTATGCTTTCCTGTGAGACTACTGCCTCATTTTCAGTTCATGTCAGTTCCCCTCCTTATAGCAGACTGTATTTCTTATATTTCCCTTTACTATTTCCTGCATCCCTTCATCAGTTATGCTTACATGTCACCATCAAAACAGTCCTTTCTCTACCCAGTGGCCCTGCTACTCGAGAAAGAGCAGTTCAGTGGAGCAATAACAACATTCCATTGGCTGCTTCTTTATTCCTGTCTCCAACTTTCCTCACTACTTCTTAAGCTTTTTTCAAGAATTTCTACTTATCTCCCTAAATATCTTTGTATCTTATGATTGATTCTCCAAACCTTTGTTTTCACTTGTCAGTGAACTTACACATTATATTGACTTAGCATTAGACAGTGTTTCCAAATATACACATATTATTCTATTTCATCTCTCTCTCTCTCTCTCTCTCTCTCTCTCTCTCTCTCTCTCTCTCTCTCTCTCTCTCATCTATTCATCTATGCTCATGTGTGTTCAAGCACATTCTAAGTAGAGCAACATGCTTAAATAACAAAATCCATCTCCATGATTGAAATGTTGTCTTGTTTATTCTCCAGAAAGTTCATTGGTTTAGAGTTTCCTAGGTATCGATAACATTCCTATTTTTCACAATTGCTACTCTAATATCACACCAAATTCTGTCACTAAGACCAATAAGTCTGTTTAACAATTTCCTTTGAAATTATGACTCTCTTTTGTAACCGGATATTTCTATGATGGCAAAGATTCTCATTTTATTTTTCTGCACTACTAAAATCACCTACAAATAAGATGGCCCCCCGCCATCACCATTGTTCAGGCTTCTGGGGTAATCTTTACCTTGACACTTGGTGAACTTTCTACAGTTCAAATATAGTCTATGTGACATGGTTTAGTTCTTCTCTTTCTATCTGGTCTGCTTTGTGGGCTTTTCTATTAGCTAGTCACTGAGTGTATGTATGTTTTGTTTGGAAGCATTCTCATTTCTTAAAAATAGAGAATAAAAAAATGAACTATGTCTTCATGTTGAGCTCTGGGAACTCTGTGTGAGTAGAGAATGGCAAAGGAATGCACCTGGGGTGGCTGCCCTAGATTTAGGATAGAAGGCAGGACATCAAAGTGTTTATCCACTCATGAGCCTCTCCTCCCTTTGGGACTTTCAAGTTCTAGAATGGAGTGAAATTCCCTACTCTTCAATCTGGTCTCACACCCCTCTCTTGTACTCCAATTACAGCTTTATAGAGATCTGAGCACCCAAGCAGGTACATTCACATCACAGAAAGTGGAAGAGGAAGTGAGCACATCTCACCTCGTCAAGCTCAGTTGTCTTGCCCTTTCCAGTCCTAGAATAACTAACAGGGCTCGGTCCCTGTAGACAGACAGCACTGTTTGATACAGCTAAATTCTATCATTTGATCACAACATGCGTGCGTGCCCTTACCATACATTTTGAATGTAATCACTGTAAGACCTGATTCTTCTATTCCCTCTTTTATCTTTTTGTAATTTTTATTACAATTTCAGTCTTTCTTAAAAATTTTTAATGTAACCTTTCTTTAAACATTTCTCAAACATGACAAGTGCTATGTTAATATAGGACAGTGTGATAGAAGGATGTTATCTGAAACACACCACAATGGCTAAGTACATCTTTCTTGTTATCATGTCTTGTGCCCACTGTTTACCTTCAGCATTCTGTCTTGACCAGAAGATGCCATTTGATCTGGCTGCCCATAATGAATGACCAGCACCACACTGCAATGTTGAAGACATTTTTAATGTTGAAGACATCTCATATTGCCCCTCCACTGTGGAATATCTCTGTTTTACCGTGTGTGTGGCCAGTCTCTTCCTAAGTAACCATGATGTCTTTTCACGACTTACATGAGCATGTCAGAGTTTTCATTTTAGTGTGAGTTATGTAAAATATTTAACGATGCTTATCACATGGTTTATGAGAAATGCTGTTCAATTAAATGTAACTTGAAATATAGCTACCCATCATTTGTCCTCCTCTGGGGAAGCAGGAGAGAACCAACAGCACTTTCCAGCTGTTGTAGTAAACTCTGCATTTTATTCATTGCTCTGAGTGGATCCAAAGGTGGAAGACCTGGACTAAATAGTCAACCTGCTTAAAAACAGACCTTTAAATATATGCGTAGTATGCAGAAACCACAGTGTGGATAACCAGCAAACCAGAAAACTTCCAAACAGACCCAAAAAAGGAAGCCGAGCACAGCAGTAGATAAACACTGTACTTACCACCTGGAAATTCAGTGGTTTTTCTGGAGCTTTGCTGCTGCTATGTTCTAAGGCATATATCTTGATAGCAAGTACCAAATCGTAATTATTCTTTAGTGTAACAAAAGAGGTGTAAAAATAGAACCTCGTGCTCAGCAGTAGCACTTACTTTTCCTTTGTGTACCGTTTGCACTTGCTATGTGTGTTCTGGGTGGATGATACGTTCAAATGGGACCATGGCCACAAGAGCTCAGAGCACCTTACTTCACTCTGGGCCTTCTCTCCACACCACACAAGTGCACACGTGTACCTGCCTTAGCATTTGTTTTATCAATTATTCACATTCACTGTGCTGAGTGGCTATTTTATCAAGGATTTCCATCATCCTTTGTGGGTCTTTCAAAGTTTTTTAATGACTGATCAGGATTAGGGTTGAGTATTTAATTAAAATAATATAATGAGGTTGACAAGATCCTTATAACCCAAGAGCCACAGAATCTTCAGGTCTTAGGGACACTATGTAATGAAAACGTGTGTGTTTATCAGAAAAGAATTATTAATGTAAGAGACAGAAAAGATATTAGAAAGAATTGTCTTAATTCAAAAAATAATTTTGAAATTGATAGTTATGGTCTAATTGATGGCAAACAGTCCTTTACCTTAGACAATAGTCTCTTGCTTATATTATTAAGAACCAATATGCATCTATTTCCAGCTATTTCGCAGTATTTTCTGAAGATTCAGGTTGCTTTCTGCATGTGACTTGCCCGATGACTCCTAAGAACTGAAGCTGAATCTTACATGAAGCCACTTTGTTAAGAACAACAGAATTCAGGATTGTTGATTGTGGGTTTTGAGGTCACATCAGTATTCCAAACCAAACTTGTCGGCTGCTATCTCATTAAACAGCACTGTGGAGACATTTAAAGATTTTTGCACATTTTAATTCAGCTGGTAACTTGATTTAAAACAACATTGATTTTTTTTCAATTCTTTCTTCGTCATGTATATCAACATGAATTTGTAACTATCTGAAGCTATCTACAGCAGGGTATTAAATCTTGGCGGGGGGAGGGGGACCTTTTTCAGTGTTGATTGCCATCAGTTTTCTGTTGCTTTCATTTTCCTTTGAGCTGCAGCTTTTGAGAATTGTTTTCATTCTTCTCACATCATACCCCAATCATTAAATAATTAAACCACTATCATACAGAACGGTAGGAGACTAGAAAATAAGGAAACCAGAAACTCCCCTTTTCAACCTGTGAGCCCATTTTAGAAGAAAAGAGCATGCCAAATTATGGTTTTGTGCTCATGACTAATGTTCTGATGATGGCAGAGAGGGACATAGGGGACATAAAGGGAAATTCCAGTGGAAAGAGTCAGTGATGGTCACAGCGGCAAAGTGGGCAACTTCCTTGACAGGATGCTCTAGGCTGTGTTCTAGATCAGAGAGTTAAACAGAAGGGATGACTATAACTTTCTGGATTTAGAAATACCTCCTATGACTCTAATGATTATCGTGAAAACATTAACTTAGCCTAGAGCCTCCAGTGCACTGTGTAGCTTGATTCTGGAAGTGTAAAAGGGCTTGGCATGGAGGAAAGGTAATCTGTAAGTAGTTGTAGGTTTTATATTAATTCTTAGCTTGGAATTGAGCTCTAAAATGGCTACAATGTTGAATCTTGATATTTTCTATGTGCAGAATTTCACGGTGAGATATTAGATCATTAGTGTGAAGATACATCAGCGTTAAACCAGAGCCCATTATCTGGTACCATTTGGACAAGACACCGTGGAAAGTAAGTCAGTTGTGAGGTGGATCATGGAAATCAAAGAGGAAGGAACGTCAGAAGAAGGCCAGCATTTTCTTCCTACAGCTCAGGCTAATGATCCTGAGGACATTCACTTCACAAGTAAGTATATGTGTCCTACCTCCTGTAGGTCTCTGAAGAGCCAAACTGGGTTAACCAGACAAATATCCCTGTGTATTCACAGGAACCTGGATTTCACCAAACTGCATGAGATTACCCAGTTGTTTCCCCATTTCTCTCTGTGCTTTGGAATGTGAGTGTATGACAACACTCTTCTCATCTTTTATCTCGGATCACACAGTTGATAGATAGGTCAACATGAACCAGCATCAAATGATCAAGTTTTCAAATGTGTATTAAAACACTGATAAATACATTTCACGGACCCTTTCCAGATGCTGATCATATTTAAGAACAGCTTCTACTTGGTATTTATTTATTCCTATAGAGAATCAATATTGTGAAAGTTAAATATTGCTAAGACCAAACAGTATGTAAGGTGAACACATTAGTGAAAAATATCACACAATGCTTGCTTTGCTACTCCCCCAGACAACATTAATTCACATAACAGAGAACACTTAATTTGTCCAAGATTTAAATCTGACCATTGGAATAAATTTTTGTGCTACTCATGTAATTAAGAAATTTAAAAGAATACTATGTTTTCTCTCATACTTAAAATTCTAGGTTTTCAATTTGTTCTTTAGTTTAAACTGCATCCTTTTCTTTCAGAATGGCTCTTTTACTCAGAAAAACATTTTTTAGCACCAGCAAATATATGCCTAGCCTCATTAAATTTATATCTTAAAAATCATCTTTAGAAAATGATATTGGTTGGATGCATTGCCAATAAATTTGGTTGCCAAAACTTAGAGAGGAGTTAATTATTAGTATCCAAAACAAAAACATAAACATAAACAAAACTGGATTATTTCACAAGAGCATACCTAATGATTCTAACATCTATTAGGCAGTCTAACATTATTAATTGAAGCATTTTAAATGTTAGCAGGAGAGAATAAAATAAATGATTATTGTGCTAAAAAAGAAATTGCTAACTGTGAATAAAAAGGCATTGTATTTTATTCAAAAAGGTGGTTTTAAAAATAGGTTATTGACCAAATGCCAGTTAATTTAAATAGTCTCTGCAAAATACACAAACAAGGGCAGAAGCTTTACATTTATTGTGAAGTGATACAATTTTCTATATGTTTTACTTTGGTTTCTTTGGCTACTTATGAGTTGTAACAAATGGAATGTCATTCATTCACACCCTTGGCCATGCTAGTTTGGGACTCTAATATAGACTATGTCTGGTCTTTAACATCCACCGCCCACAAGGGACTCTGTTGACTATGTCTGGTCTTCAGCATCCACCTCCCACAAGGGACTCTGTTGAATATGATCTTCAACATCCACCTCCCGCAAGGGACTACTGTTGACTGTGATCTTCAACATCCACCTCTCACAATGCATTCATGCATCCTGATCATCTCACTCCCTCATTCTGAGACTCTCTTCCCCACTCCCACTCATCTTTCATCATTTTATATACTGTCTTCTTTTGGAAATATCACAGAAGAAAGGAGTAGAGGTGTTGAGCACAATTTTGTTGAAATAATAAGTAAGCAAAATAAGCAGCTCTGTGTCCTTGCCTACTAGAACTTGACTGGGGCTCTGCCCATTGATAATGATTCCATATTTACAAGTCGGAGAGCTTGCATGAAACCCACTTAAGACAGTCCTTTGATGACGTGGTTCTTTGTAAAACTCCCACTTACCTGCAGACTTCTGAAACAAATAGACACAGTTGACAAACATGTTTTATAGTTGTCCTTTTGGGGTTTCTCTATGGCCATGAAGTATCTTTATTTCCATTGACTTTACAAAAATACTTTGCCTTCATCTGAGTATTCATAATGTTTAAGTCTGATTATCTACCTTTATTCATTCTGCCAACAATGTATGTAGATATCTTGTCAGATGAAACAGTATATATGTTGTTATAATATTGATAACAAATACTTTTAAAACCTAAACTTATCCCTACTATTTATAGGCATCCAGAAGATCCCCAATGAGCCGCAGTTAGAATTCATCCTAGGTAAGGAATCTTACCTTATTTATAGCAACTAGTAGAATGGGAATTTGTGCAGAAGTTTGCAAATTATAGGTGTATAATGTGTATTATTGCATCTTACTTTTATAAACATTGTTCTATTAAAAACTCTTCTCATAACATAGGAATTATTTTTTCTAATTTGTATTAACAAACAAAAATCTGGGTTGTATATAGAATCCATTGGGTGTAACACTAGCTTACATTTTGTTTTAAACTAAGCTTTTTAGATTTAAACGCACACATATTCAAATTGACATCCAGAGATGAGATATATTTTATATGTCAATAAAGACATATTCTGAAGTTTGGGGGACAGATTTAAAAATATAGATATATTGAACTGAGTCTTAGTGATATGAAGTCTTAATTTTAGGCACACATACTTCCATTGATTATGTAGCAAATTTGTGCCCTTTGTTCAACCCATTTTGAAGTATAACTTACTGAGAAAATAATTGTATACAATTAGTATTTTGAGCATCCTGTTTTGTTGCATCTTGCCAAAAGGGTATGGTAACTCAGCATTCTGGATTGGAATTTCCTAGGTATTGAGAAGCAGGCAAAGTTGTGAAAAACTGCAAGAAATATTCATGGCAAATCTGATAAAGCTGTACTTCCTTGCTTGAATTTTGACATGGTTTGGGGCATAGAAAGAAGCTGTTTTCTGAAAGTAAGCTTGGATGCAAAAGGAGATGCAGACATCTTTGGCACACTGATGAGAACCCAGTGCTGCTGGAGTACCTGTCTATCTTCCAGTAGAAACTAATTTGAAAGAAAACAAGCCCCCTTTTTAAAGCTTTCCTGAAAGAGAGGAGTAGTTAGAGCAATGTGTCACATTTCAAAGTACAAACACAGCCTTCTTTTATCACGTGCAGAAGAAAGGGGGATCTGAAGGAGACAGCCCTGGGATTGGAGGGAGACGGAGACCAGTTTGCAAGATAGAGTTTATATGAACAGATATCGACTTTTTATTTCAGTTGAAATGAGTGGTTTTGATCAAAACCTGCTATGCTGTTTAGTATAAAAGCCCAGTCCAGGAGCAAATCTGTCAAGTGCAGTGGCAGCTCTGTTGTCTCTATTTTGGATTTTGAAACATCAATGGAAGAGAATCACATCACTAAAATTCATTCATGATAATGTCCTGGATCCAATTTAAGTAATGTCCATTCTCTTTTTCCTTATACTTACTGAAAACACAGTAAAATTGCTAAGGGTGGATAAGTTTATGTTATCAATACCACAATATGCTTAATAACAGAACACACATTTACCAAAGACAGTCAGTCTAGAGGGAATTGGAGATTTAGAAGATGTATGTTACAATCTGTCAGCTTCATGGCATGTGAAGATTCCTAACTTTCCCATTTCTTATGGAACTTTCTCTGTCTCATCAAAGACATCATCAATAAGCTGTTGCCTGTGGGTTTCAGTGTATTATTCCGTTAATTTCCTGCCTTGGAAATGTTTTTAATTCCAGAACTTCTTTGGCTCTAAATATTATATTGTTAACTATTCACTGTCATAATGAATAAGAGGAAAAATAATTTTCTAAAACATTTATTAACTATTTAAGGAGATACATAGTTACTTGAACAAAATAAATAAAGAACAAATTCTAGAAAAAAAAGTAGAACAAGAGAGGAGCCCTTTTCTCCTATTCAAATACTTTGATGTTTGATTCACTACCCTTTACCAAAATATTAAAATAACTTGGAAATTTCAATGTCTTTGCTTTATATAATGGAGAAATAGTAACACTTATTATTTATGCAAGTGATTTATTACTTTGAATACATTATTTTATGTGAGTACTTGTTTCTCAGTGATCTCTGTGAAGATCATTTTCTCTTGCTGGAATTTCCCTGTTCCATCTTTATTCAAGTAAATGAGGTAGGAGATGCTTAGTCAATTGAGCAAGCTAATTGGCTAAAGACATCTTGATAGAACTAGATAGGCATGCTCAGAGAAAGCACTCTGTCCACTGCTAACCCCATTTCTAATGAGTGACTGCAGCTAAATGAAGTAATTTGCTCTTACGGCTTGGAGTCTGAATCCACATTTGTTTCCTTGTCTTCCCACATGTACAGCAGTTCTTTATTTTTCACAAGGAAAGAACTAATTAAAAATCCCAGAGAATGTTGATTTTGTTTACAGTTTAATGAGATTGTTTTTGTTTAAGCAGTGACTCAAGGCTTCGCCTTCTAAAATAATAACCTAGACATTGGCATTGGATACAATTCCATTTAATGAGAAGATAAGTCTATCAAAATTAATCATAAAATCCTTTGGTTCAACAGCGTGCACACTGAAAATTTCACTGGAATTTAGAAATGTGGGTTTCTGGTTGTTCAGATTGGGGGAGGGTTGTTTTTAATTTGTTGGTGGGAAGCTGTTTACTTTTGTTTTGTTTTGTTTTGTTTTGAGAATGAGTTTTGCTTGGTCACTCAGGCTGGCCTCAATCTTGCAGCCAGATACTGGGGTTACAGGTGTGTCCCACTAAGCCCTGCTTTCAGATTGTGTTCTGAATGTAGGACACAGGCTGTGTGGATCTATTCCTAACACTGTGAAGACACATCTATTCAAAAACTTGAATGAACATTTGCTGTTAAGCCATTCCTCAGGATAGGCTTAGTCTAGTGAAGGAAAGAAGAAGGGAAGAAAAGAAAAAGAAGAAGAAACAAACACTCCGGATGTGTGCTGTCAGAAACTTTCAGACATCTCATGTAATTCCATTTAGCCTTCACAGTAACCACATGTGGGTGGATAGAATGATCAACTGTGTCTGTGAGAGGAAGACAGAAAGGTTTGGAGGCCCCACCAAGATTATAGAACCATAAATCACTGCAAAGCAATGTGATAAGAGCTGCTATCTTCAGGAAGGAAGGGAGGCCCACAGAACTGAGGGAAACAAACAAGAAGGTTGGAAGAGTCTTTCTTTTTGGACATAATAGGTTCAGCAACATCAATTTTAAGCAAAGCTAACAGAGACATTTCTTAAATTTGGGGTACATGTTCCTGAAATTGTTATGGAAATTGCATAGAGAAGACTGATAGTGGAAAAGGTGTAACTGAAATGTTTAGAAACCGTTTAATTTTATTCCCAAGTATGCTTAAAATGTTGATTGCCACTTATCTCTATTATCTCAAGTCAATAAATTGCTCATAAAAAATTTTATTTTATTATTGGACATGGTGCCATATGCCTTCAACCTTAGCACAGGAGGAAGAGACAGGCAGATCTTTATGAGTTTGAAGCCAGACTGGTCTATACAGTGAGTTGCTGGACAGCCAAGGCTACATAGTGAGACTTTGTTTAAAGAAAAGTAGGTAGCAGGTTGAGAGATGGTTCAGGGGTTAAATGCACTTGCTGCTCTTGCAAAAGACCTGGGATTCATTTCTAAGCAACTACATGGCAGCTAATAACTCCTGTAACTCCAGTTCCAGAGTATCAGTTATCCTCTTCTGTCCTTTACTGGCACTAAATGAACTTAGTGTATAGATCTATACACAGACAATATGCCCATATACATAAAAACAAAAGTAAATAAAATTTTAAAAAGTAAATTTTTATTTCTTATGTAGATAATGTATATTATAATTTAAATTAGTAGGTAGCACTTCTTGGAAATGCATAGAAGAGAATGGCATATATATTTTCCATGTGACTTTGGAGTTCTTTGTTTGGCACTATAACGTCATATCAGTGAAGCTAATTTATCTCAAAGTTTGATTTTCAATGGCAGCCAATTAGACAGAAACAAGACACAGAAAGTGATGTGTGCATATCATTATGATAGGATGAAGATATGGAAACAGGATGAATTCTTCAAGAAGAGTGAGCCACACATCTGTTCATTGTGCTAGTCACTGCTAGCTCAGAAATGAAGTATTCCCAGTTAATGGCAAGTTCTATGCAGACAGAAAATCTGAGCAGCTGGAAAGAGCCTATATGTAGGAAGGCAGTTTACTTGGGGAAGAGGAACTTTCTTATACATATATTCCAAAGAAGCCTCTAGGAATCCAAAGGAACATATCCAAGGTATAGATGTATATTTGGAAATTGTCATGCTGTACTGAAGACCTAGGTGACTTCACGCAAAGCGGGTGATAGAACGGTAGATGTTGGAGCAGCAGGTCATATGGTTCTTATGATGAGATAATGAGTACTAATTGGTTGTAAATAGGTTACTCATTTGAACAGACACAAAACCAAGTGACATGTTGATGTAGTTCTGAGGAAAAAAGTAGCACAGGGGATTGATAGCTAGTGAAGAACCATTGGCTAGAACACTGAAATGCCCAAGTAGTGTAGAATAGTTGGTGGCTTGAGTATTTTGAGACAGCAAGGCCCTACTCCTGGGCCTTTTTCATTCCTGACTTGTTTTTTTAATTTAATTTTATTTTATTAATTTTTTTTTCATTTATTTTACACACTGACCACAGTTTCCCCTCCCTCTTCTCCTCCTGTTCCCTCCCCCCACCTCTCATGTATCCTCCTCCCCATCCACTCCTCTTCCATCTCCATTCAGAAAGGGGCAGGCCTCCCATGACCTTGAACAAAGCATGGCACATCAAGTTGAGGCAGGACTGAGCTCCTCCCCATACATTAAGGCTGGGTAAGGTAATCCAGCATGGGGAACAGGTTCTCAAAAGCCAGCTAAGCACCAGGCACAGGTCCTGATCTCACTGCTAGGAACCTTGCAAACAGACCAAGCTACACAACAGTCACACACAAGCAGAGGGCCTAGGTTGGTCCCATGCAGGCTCCCTAGCTGTCAGTCTAGAGTTCATATACTCCTATGAGCTCACGTCAGCTGTCTCTCTGAGTTCCTCCTTCATGACCTCGACCCCACCGTCCACACCCCCCACCCCTGGCTTGTACAATCCTTCTTCCCTTTCTTCAGGAGGACTTTCCAAACTCGCCCCAGTGCTTGGCTGTGGATCTCTGCATATGTTTCCATCAGTTACTGGATAAAGGCTCT